GAAAAAATTCAATTAAGTTAATTATGATATATATTTGTCAGTGGCGCGTTTCTGTCTCATTTCATTCTGAATCGATAATATCGCATGTGACACAAGAATGATATTATGCGACACAAATGCATTGAACGTCCCATATCTAATCTTTACTATACCGATTCTTTGCTTATGGCACATGGAAATTTCAAATTTCGCGTACGAAACAGTGGATATGTCGAAATAAATTCACAAATTAAATTTCATATCGTGAATCTGCCATCATTTAATCGTGATAACGTGAACACAGTTTAAAAATTCTTCAAGCTCGAAATGTCAGCAATAGATCAATGGTGACGGGGACAATGAACCATTCATTCCAACAATATGCACGTTTATCGTTTCCTTTCGATCGTTAAATGCATAATCGAGCTTGGCATGTACGAGTCCATATTTCATCGAAAAAGCAGGAATGAAAATTGTACGGTAAAATTACCGATATGTACAATATGCATATATTTGTAAATAAATAAAAGTTATAAATTAATTTTATCAAACTCTGTAATTATCTCTGTATTGTATAAAATTAAAAATAAAGAAATTTTATTAATAATAATTATTTTATTTCTTATAATTTCCCATTATAATCGACCTTTCATTTTCGTTCTCAAAAAATGAACTTCAAACTCTCTCTCTCTCTCTTACTATCCCTTTTCTCTAAACATTTTCCATCCAAAAATTATCCGAAACACTTATCCTCTTCACTATCTCCTTCTCGACTGACAAATACTTTTCGCCAAGCCTATACACACTTTTCCAGGAAAAATTTCTTTCTCTCAACCAGCCAAATATTTAGGCTTTCTAAAAATTTCACGGTGCGTTCAAAGAAGAAGAAGAAGAAGAGAAAAGGACACCCGTGATGGGTTCTCAGTCCGCTATAAGAACACTGGACGGAGCCGAGGAAAAAGGAGAAGAGCGAGAATTGGTCGCGGTTGAAAAACAGAACTGGTGGAATGCAGGTGTGTTTTGCGCCGCTTACTCGCCGACATAATACCTGGCGACACTGATAAGCCTAACGTTTGTTCAGATAACTATGCAATGCTTGGAGAACCGCTATCGACCGAAAAAGTTGCGACAGACGCTGTTCTATATCACGAAATTCTGACTCTGTAACTCTCTGAATATTTTTGGCAATATTATTACTTATGTTATTAAAATACAAAATATATATCCAAATATTGCTTTTTTTTTTAATTTTCTGTTTAAATAATTTCGTAATGATTAAGTATGTCAAAAGTGGAATGGTAGTTTGAATGATTAATGGAAATGATCTGATTATTT